CGATGGTTACTCATGATTATTGATAGTTATACTTCGTACGGAGAAGACCATCCAATGTCACCATGGTCATTCGACTGAATCGATTCAGGGTGGTCCGGCAGTGGAGACTCGACCCGGTCGGGAGCCTCCGTCAGGATCCTTACGATCCCAGGAACCGTCTAGACGGTCTAGTACGGTGGAACTGGAATGGGGAGGACTCAGTCTGAAGTGGACACCATCGTGTACGGAGGCCGGAGCTTCCTAAGATTCAAGTGCCGACAAAAGCAATTGTATGTACTCCGTAGGGTGCAGATTGCAGGGTTAGCTGGATCGCATTGATTAATTAAGATTCTGGGAAGACCAACTTTGAGCAGCCACTGAGCCAGTGATCTCGTGAACCAACTGCAGTGAAATTTGGATCTGCGAACCATGCGGAGGACGGCTGGTCGAATCAGACCGAATCGGGGGGCCGGCGGTGGAGCGACTGAAGATGGGCTTTTCTTTTCTGATGCCAATTTAACTATCTCGGTCCTAGTGGCGTGTGCTCATCCGATAGGGGAAGTCCGTCGAGGGAGAAGAAGACAAGAAGCAGGGAGGAGTACAGGACTCACAGGAGAGACTGTATGTACTCCTACAATGATCAATCTAGATCATACGGAGGCCCATCCTGCCCCTCACTCTTCTTGAACATTTGAAATATTTTAATAACTGGCCGGTTGGATGATCTCCATATCGCAGGAAGTTATTGCTTGCTCTTCTCCCCGCCCCTTTTTTCTCTCTTCCATCCTTTTTCTCATCGTTTTTTTCTCCCTCTCTCTTCAAGCCTTTGTTCCTAATCTTTTCTGTTCTTCAACACCTTCCTTTTTTCCTAGGCCGCCCTAAATGCTTCACTTTGGTCAATCACAGTCCATTCACTACCCCCGTCATACGTTGATCGACCTCTCTCTTTTTACCTCTCTCTCTCTCGCTCGCTCCCTGTGATCGACAACTCTTCTCCTCGTTCCTTCTCCAGAGAACTAACGTTCTGCAAGGGGCGCTCACTTGCATACCCATCGCAAGGGGGGCGAAAAAAAGAAAAAGAAAAAAATCTTGCATACTATCTCTTGGATCGGGAACCCGTTTTCTTATTTTGAATTATTATTGTTTTATTATATTGTTCTAACTTTTTAATTTCTTTTTCTCTCTCTTTGGTCTCTGACTGGCACATGCGTACAACTCCTGCAATCTAAAGCCAGATATAGATTGACGCCGTTAGGTCAACTTGCAGACGCCAATTCCTCCTGCTCTCTCCAGATCATGCAGGTGAGCTCCAAGGCCACCCGCATATATCGTCCTTGACCGTCTTTGCATTTGGGCTGGGAGGGTCCAAAATCTTTTGGAGGGTTTATAATTTCGGATTTTCCCGTCAATAGTCGCCATGGACCGCACCGACGATGCGGTGGTGTCGATGCTCGAAACCCCTTTCCAGTCTTCCACCGCACTCCTTTCGAGACATCGCAAAGCCGCGCCGTCGCGCTCACATTCCGCGAAACCGTCCACAGTTGACCCGGCATCGCCCGAAGTGATCTCCTCGTTGATCTCATCCCTTTCAACCATCTCCGCGCCCCTGCAGTCTCATTTCGACAGCGTTCCGCGCATCGATTCTGAAACCGATCCATCCTCGCCCGTTGTCTTGCCGTCTGAGCAACATTCCATCTCGGATCAGCGCCCGCATAGCGAGCATGGTTTTGGTGTGAGCTACGGGGCACCCCCAGTCTCCGATGAATCACCGACTACCCCCTTCTTGCATCCGGATGATGCAGCGGTTGCGCCCGTCATTCGCATGGCTCGAGCTCCTCCCTCTCCAAAGCCCAAATCGACCCCAGACCCTTCTTCCTCCTTCGGACGACCGACCTCTCGGGGCTCGTACACCTCGTCGAAAGCCGCATACGAAGACTACGCATTCGGAATGATAACGGCGGAACCCGGCCCCCGAGTGTCGACTGCACCTAGCATTGCTTCGTCGGGGTCAAGAAAGAGCCTCAAGAACCAATTGGGCCTATTGAAGAAAGGCTCCCGGGAATTTGGAGGCGATAAGGACAAGCGAGCGGAGAGGTTACGGAAAACAAGTAGCTACAACGACAGCTTGAGACACAACGTTCCCCGCAGTAGAGCCAGCCTACGATCCTTGTATTCGATGGCTGATGTCGCCGAGGAGGGGCGCCCGGCCCCATCTGATCTGGTCTCCGCTCTGGAGGGAAGGACGATTAGCAGAAGCTCCAGTAAGGCGCGACAATCATCACAGTATGCTCCCGAGGACGCGCCCAGCACCCCGGGCGGTATTGGAAGTGGCAGGGTTATTCCTACTCGCGAGTCGTCTCTACGACATAGTTTTTCGTCCAGTCCCAAGCACCACAGGTCTGTCCGCCATGCTCGCTATTCGTCCTCGGGGAGCAAAGAGATGAAAGCGGACAGTGGGGCCGTTGGTCCGAGCAACGAGGCCGAACAGGTGACCAAGAGGATACAACAGCTAAAGGATCAGCAGCAGAAGATCAAGACTGAGCTGGAAATCGACGATAGTCCCGACAAGCCCGCCAGGGAGCCTCCTCCTCAACAAACCTCGCCAATACAGAACCCCGACGAAGGGGAGCGCCTGGAGGAGCCCTTGAAAAGGCAGGTCGAATGCAGAACTGGGTTGGAATTCGACGAGAGCGCACCATCACCGGCTGTTCTGACCGGGAAAAGCAGGTCAGCGAAACACAAAAGCTCGACACTCGCGTCTAGACCGAGCAACATACCCCTGCAGCCTTTATCGGCAAGGCAATCATCTGACAAGCCCGACTCAGTCGACAGAACCCGTCATGGACAGTCGACGGAATCTCCCCTGCGGAATCCCAGCCAATTCCCACCCGGCCAGGCTTCCCCAAGTCATGGCTCAATCATGGATGAGCGCCCATCAAGTGCGGATACCATCGATCTTGCGGTTTTTGACTATGTATCGTCTTCAAAATTGACGCAGAAAGTGGTTCATCCCGCTACCGGTCGTGTTATAGCGTTTTCGGAAGTCGGTGACCCCAAGGGCCATGTAGTATTATGCTGCCTCGGAATGGGACTCACCCGATATTTGATGGCTTTTTACGACGAGCTAGCACGGTCTCTTCACCTCCGGCTCGTAACTTTGGATCGACCTGGAGTTGGTGAGAGTGGGCCTTACGTGGGCGAGGCGGGGACTCCTCTGAGCTGGCCTGGTAAGAGCATCACCCCACGATTTGGCTCACGCGTACGGTGATACATCGATGACTAACACTAAGTAGATGATGTTGCAATCGTGTGCAACCACCTCAAAGTGACCAAGTTCTCCATCCTGGCTCATTCTGCCGGCGCTATCTATGCGCTGGCAACCGCCTTGAGGATTCCGCAGCACATCCGAGGACGAATCCATCTTCTCGCCCCCTGGATACCGCCCTCCCAGTTGTCCAGTATTGGCTCGCCCAAGGCCCCTGTTCCCACCAACGCTGTTCCTTATTCCCAGAGAATTCTCCGGGCGCTTCCGACATCCATCCTAAAGGTCGCAAATTCCAGCTTCATGAGCGCAACAAGCGCAAGTATTACTTCTAGCCTACCGAAATCTCCCCGACGTGCCAGGCGAAGAGCCACGGTCAAGGACTCAACAAGCCCCACTGCCCTCGAGAGCAACGGGACCCAGCGACTCCCAAGTAAACTTCACCAGCAGGGAACAGATTTGCGGGCATTGCAGATCATCCAAGCCCCGTCGCTATCAAACGCGGCTGGGGATAAGAAACCCGAAGTGACCGCAAGTCCGGCCCCGGTGACGGCATCTCAAGAACGGGAACGCCAGACCGATTACGACACTCGGCTGACTCACAAGATCTGGGAGTTGGCTACCGCGAACGCCAACCCGGCCGTTGATCTGCTGGTGTGCTTGGAACGTCGCCAGCCAATTGGGTTTCGATATGTCGATATCACCCGAAACGTTGTCATCCACCATGGGAGCAGAGACACCCGCGTTCCTGTTGACAACGTCCGATGGCTAGGGCAAACCATGCGGCGCTGTGAAGTTCGAGTCCTTGAGGGTGAAGGCCATGGATTGATGGCCTCGGCCGCGGTAATGGGCAATGTACTAATGGAGATTGCCAAGGAGTGGGAGGATTGGATGATCGTGGTCCAGGGCAAGCGTCGAGGAACTATTGGACCACGGTCAGGGGTTGCCGTTCAAGCGTGATCTATTCTGGTCTCCAGCCGTGCCGCTTGCAGGTCCTGCGGTCACTGGCTTTTCTTTTTCATTGCGTGCGCGAAGACAGCCTGTGCTTCTGCAAGATTTATGCCCTCGTTTTTCCCATTCGATCATGATACCATGCAGATGTTCCATTTGCCCTTAGAATACCCGAATATAGCATGGATAGTTGATAATATAATGCTTAATTGAGATCTTCTGTCTTGGTGCCACTGTGCCACTCTATGGTGTAACTGTACCTTGAATAATGAAGTTCGGTCTAAATTCGAACCAAGAATAGAACGGTGGACCGGACCCTCGTGACGTAACAAGTTAGGCGCGCGGGCCGCTCCCCGACAAGGAAATGGTTCCTTGTCCTCCCCTTCTTCCATGTGCAGCCCCCACGCACGACCACCTCATTCGATCCTCGACAGTCGGACTTGATTTGAGTCTTGTGGAGAGAGAGAGAGATAGAAGGGTCCCTCGGCGCTTGAGACGTTGGAAAAAAGCTCTTTGTCCCCACTCACGCTGGACAGCTACACGGTTTCTTATTTCTTCCTTGCCGCTGTCTCCCCGCGCCAAATGTCCCGTCCTGACTGGTGTCGGAGCTGCGCCTATGATCTGTCGACTCACCAAGGCTGTTAAAAAACGTCTGACTCCAATGCGCCAAGCGGCAATTTGACCCGGCAGTCCTTTTCAGAATATTATATAAAGCGCCATTTTCTGTCGTGTACTCGTGCCGAGAACGAGCCTTCGGAGAACCTCTCGTCTCTCGGAAACCCCCTACCAGACGACTTCTCCTTCCAAAATGCTTTCCCAACGCCGCATCAAGCTATTGGCCATCGGCGTCCTAGTTTTCATCATTATCACACTATATTACTCGGTATATACCCTGCCCTCTGACCATACTCCGGAACCGGTGGACTGATCCAGCGCGCGACTGTTACGCAGGGCGATGCACGGAGAGTTCAAAACCAGAAGTTCTACCAGTCAACCGTGGCGGCAATAGAAGCTCATAGGGACACGAAGAATTTCGGAACCACCGCAGAGGGCTCGTCGCGGAAAGAGCCGCCCAACTTGAGGCCCGCCGACGGAACGCCGATGAAGCCTATCACCGACGAGATGAAGCCCGCGATCCCTAAAGACAGCGACGAGGAGACGGAGGAAATACCAATCGCAGGACGAACCAAGATGACGGTCGCCAAGAATCGCAACGAGCCAGAAAAGCAAGAACAAGCACCGGTGGCTGATGAACATATCGAGGCGAAGACTGAGCTCAATAGCATATTGAAACGTTCACCAAGTCAGTATAGCCGTTTGGTTACCGACCTCGCTCCCTTTGCGTCTTGGCAATTTCTCAGCTTGCTGAAGTTCACTTGGCTAACCTTGCCCAGTCATCATTTTCTCGAAATCCTACTGCCCTCACAGTGCGAGAGCCAAGTCTATTATTCTAGACCAATATTCCATCGTCCCGGCGCCTTACGTGGTGGAGCTTGATCAACATCCTTTGGGACCCCAGTTACAGGCTCTGCTAGGCGAAAACACGGGCCGCCGCACCGTTCCCAACGTGCTGGTGAGTGGCCGAAGCATTGGGGGAGGTGACGACGTGGCAGCTCTTCACGAGAAGGATGAATTGGCATCCACCCTGAAGAGCTTCGGGGGCAAATGGCTTCAAGGAGTCAGCCATAAGGCACCCGACAATTGAGGCAGGATTTCCTGATCAGTGTAATATATCAGGTGTTGGCAGAGGGAAGAGATGCTCGTTGTGTTTTTGGTATCAAAAGCGAAACCTTGGCCTGGCGCTCTGGATGATCATTGACATTGCAGTATATATACTGGATATATATATGGATCCGAACGACGGTCCATTAATTAATCAGATAATCAGCTGAAAGCAAGTTTTCTACCAACACCAACTTGGTACTTGTACTCTACTGGGGGGTGGGTGATGCCGCTTCTTGGCACTATAGATCACGTGACCTAGGTGGCAGAGTACGGCGTACTAGGAGAGGCAGACTCACCGGTGCAAATTCCACGACACCACTCGGCTTGGAATAAAAGCTGTTCAGATCGAGTGCTACTATCCTGATCGACTACTGTCCTTCTAACCTGCTTTCCTACTTGAAATAGGAACCAGAGAGGAGATACCTACAGTCCTCGGGAGGAAAAGTACCGTACGGAGTGTAAGCGGCGGCGTAACGTGACAATACCGAATACCACAAGACAGCCCTAGGCGGACGACGCTAAACCGCAAGAGGCCTTAAGCGACGCACAACCCGCGGGTTTTCGCTCCACCAAAGAAAGCCTGCGGTTTGTCTCGACGAATTTCGATCCTCTCGAACGACCGACCGCACGACGACATCGACAATTCTCCCCTCGGACATTCCACACCCACGCAGTCAAGATGCGGTACATTCACTCCGAGGAACGGCTGCCCATCCCCGACAATGGTGAGCATTCGATCGCACCCCCCTGATTTTACCCTTCGTTCCGGTGTTGCTACCGGAGAGGGAGGCCGGATGGAAGAAGAGCGTCGCGAAGGACAGGGATTGAGGAGAAGCCGTTGCGCCTGCGTCAAGAATATCGACTGCCTAGTGTTTGGCCAGGGAAAAAGAGGAGGACGTCGGAAATCGGCCATGTTCATATGTCTTGAGAAAGAAAGGATCTAGAAGACTGATTCGAATTTCGCCCTTTAGTGAAGGTTCACATTCGTTCGCGGACTGTGACCGTTGAGGGCCCCCGAGGTATGCCTTGATTCCCCTCCATGATACGAGCGATCTCCTTTGCAAAAGAAAAAAAAAATCTTCAGTTTTCGCGGGGAGTCCACCTTGGGCACGCACACTGACCTCCGGCACCTTTGTGGTATTTCAGGCAAGCTTGTCAAGGACCTCTCCCACATTGCCGTCACTTTCGGTCGCCCCGAGAAGAACGTCATCTCGATTGAGCTGCACCACGGTGTCCGCAAGGGTATCGCTACCCTCCGTACCGTCCGTACCATCATCAACAACTTGATCATCGGTGTCACCAAGGGCTTCAAGTACAAGATGCGCTACGTCTACGCTCACTTTCCCATCAACGTCAACATCGAGAAGAACGGCGAGACTGGCCAGTGCGAGATTGAGATCAGGTATGCCGACCACACCTAAACCGGGATTCGCATGGAATCGAGAAATCGACACTCTTGAAAGAGAAGGATTGAGATCAGAAGAGAGGAGAATATGCGAGCAACGGGGGTAAACTGCTGAAAAGGAACAATGTGCTGATGGTCTTGTGTTCTTCCTCTACAGAAACTTCTTGGGTGAGAAGTACGTTCGCCGTGTGACCGCCCAGCCCGGTGTCGAGATCATCACCTCCCCCAACGTCAAGGATGAGCTCCAGCTCTCCGGAAACTCCCTCGAGGGTGTCTCCCAGAGCGCCGCCGACATCCAGCAGATCTGCAGAGTCCGCAACAAGGATATCCGAAAGGTGAGAGACCGCGCCCCGAGATCCAGCGGGACGGAAACAACGTGGGTTGGCCAGGCATAGATTGCTAACTTCTCTACCTCTACTAGTTCCTTGACGGTCTGTACGTGTCGGAGCGGGGTAACATTGTTGAAGAGTAAATGGTGACGAGGATTGTCCGCCTTGGTGGGTAGATAGGATGTCTGGAGAATCTTAATTTTCGCCCACTTGCATAGGGAAGCAAAGCGAAATTAAAGCAAAAAACAAGGACCATGGAATTCCAATGCCCCTTTTACGTGTCCACGGATATGGCTTTTCTCACCTTGGGAGACGTGGTGTGTAGAAAAAAATATTCCGCTTTCGATGAGCAATCCAATTTCTTTTTTTTTGTTCCTTTATGGCTTTGGGGGGGTTTTAATGGAACACCCAGAATTGGGCTGGACTGAACTGGACTGGACTGGACTGGGCTGTAACTGTAAAGAAGGTCATCGACGGGGGATACCTCAGGCACTGAAGCCGGGGTCTTGGTGGTCATCCGCAAGCATGTGAAAGAGAGGCCCTCCCCCACACCGGCCAGAGTAATCCGCCCTTCGCGTTCCTCCATCATCCCCCACCCAAGACATGACCTCTTGGTCACTCATGGCCACGATGGATGACACCTGGAGGTCCATTCGCATCTGTGTTGCATTTATTGCCTTTTGCAGGATGATGTTGGACGTGGTGCTGTTCTGGAAGGCTGTACGTTGACCTGTATCACATATATACAATTGATTGATAATGCACCGGACTAATACCTAGCCCTGGACAGAGACTCTTTTCATGGTTGACGTCAGACAGGAAGAAAAAGCTGCGACAATCTCTGGCCTCGGCGCAAGTATACGAAGAATGGGAGGAAGCTGCCTTGGAGTTGGATAAGCTCCTCTACTCGGATGCATGGTGAGGCGGAGAGAAGGAATGGGTATACAAAAGAGGTCATCCACGCTAACCGGAGACCAGGCGAGACAACTACGCAAGCCGACACTATGATTATCGGCTGATCAAGGGAAGACTGGAAGCGTTGAGGACAGCTAAACGGACCAACGACATCTTGAATCTCGTCAACCTGCTTCGGTCGGGCCTGGTGCGTAACCTGGGCAATATCACGTCGCCCAAACTCTACGTTCACGCCTACATCGGCACGAAGCTCTTGATCACCGAATACGTCACTGAGGTCGCGCGTGCCATCCAGCATGTGACGGCATTGGAAACGACCCCGATTCACGAGAGCGGATTCACATCCCAGGCGAAGCTGGAGTTGTTGCACGATACGCGCCAGGCGTTCGGACGAACGACCTTAATCCTTCAAGGCGGATCTGTCTTCGGAATGTGCCACCTCGGCGTGGTCAAAGCACTGCACTTGCAGGGTCTTCTGCCCAGGATCATTACCGGAACTGGCACGGGGGCCTTGATTGCTGCTCTAGTTGGGATTCACACCGAAGACGAGTTACTGACGTTCCTCAATGGGGATGGCATAGACCTAACTGCATTTGATCGTCGACGAGGGAGGGAAATGTCCAATGGCCACGATCAGTGGCTGTGGCAACGAAGCCAGGACGGCTGGCTATGGATTCTTTTGCGTCGTATCAAACGGTTCGTCCAGAAAGGCCATTTCTTCGATTCCGGGGTGCTTGAGGAATGTGTGCGAGCGAACCTCGGCGACCTGACCTTTGAAGAGGCGTATGCCCGCTCCAAACGTATTCTGAATATTACGATTGCTACGTCTAGTAAGACGGGGGCTCCGAATTTGTTGAATTACCTGACAGCGCCGAACGTGGTATGCATCATTTTACCCCTACTACCGAGAGCCCTCCGCCTAAACCTGCCCTTCTTGGACTGACCAGAGAATCGTAGTTGATATGGTCTGCTGCCGTGGCTTCTAATGTATCTAGTAGCTCATTGTACCAGCCAGTCACGATCTACTGCAAGGACGAAACCGGCTCCATTGTGCCATGGCCATATTCCCAAGACGTCACTTTCCAGCCCTGGCGGCACGTCCAATATAGCGAAGGGGAATCGCCCCTTTCCCGTATCGCCGAGCTCTTCAACGTCAATCATTTCATTATCTCGCAGGCGCGGCCATACCTCGTTCCATTCCTCAGCTCCGAATCGGAGCTTCTTGACCAGCGACCCGTGGGCCGCTGGAATTTCACACGGACCCCGATGCGCCTGGTTGTGGCGGAATTCCGCCACCGCTTGAAGCAGCTGAGCTTCCTCGGTCTCCTGCCCCAGTCGATCGGCCGGCTCCTGATCGAGGAAACCATCCCCGGTCCTAGCCTCACGCTAGTCCCCGATCTCGCCTGGAGCGACTTCACCAAGCTGTTCGAGAACCCGACCAAGGAGGGTCTGGACCACTGGATTTTGAAAGGCGAGAAGGGGCTGTGGCCGGCGGTGAGCGCCCTGTGGGTGCGATGCGTGGTGGAGGTCGAGCTGGATAAAGGGTACCAGGTCGTGCGGCGCCGACGGCCGTCCGAGACGTACTACCCGGGTGCGAACGTTCCCACGCCAGGGCAACGACGCATGCCAAACGAAGGGCTTCCTCGGAGACGCAGAGGGTATAGTATAGATTACGGACGGGACCCGGTCGCTGTGCTTGGGACAATGGAGTACCAAGAGGATGATTCCAATCCGTTATAGTTATATATCTCGGGAATAGTTTGCTCAACTGGAGTCGAAATAAGCGTAATACTGGGATATAATGGAAATTCTGATCTACTCTGTATCCATTCTTCATGACCTAATATTATTTCGAGCCATGATCGTTGACTGTCGAATTGCTTAGTTTTCTCTCTCGATCCCGGTAAAGTTAGAAGGATATGTGATTGACAAATCGAAGTTGAAATAACGTTCATCATGGAGACAACTACGGGACCGACACCAGCGAGATAAACCCGAAATTGACAAGGTAAGACCGTCCAGTGACCAACGACTTACGAAGACCCAGCCGTTGACGAAGGAAGGACATGAGAATGTTGGCGTGGGTCGTAATCTGGAAAGAAGATCAGTAAGACGGATTGACGGACGTTGGATAGCGCGACACCGGTGTTGTCCTTTGAAGGACAGAGCAATGCACTCTTTGAGCAGACAAAGCACAATCCAGCCCGCGCCGAACAGAATTGCCGCGACGGCCAAGAGCTGGAAGAGTAGCGACGTCATCGAGCAATTGCGACGAAGCTTTTGTCTGTATCCCAGACGATCTGATTCAGTAATCCCCCTCCCCGTGGTGCTGGGAAGCTCCACCGGCCGGTCATCGGTAAGGGCTTTCATCAGGATCCCTGAAACCCTTTGTTTTTGGATTTAGAGATACGGAAGCAACCCAAACCTATGATCCCTTGTGTAGCCGAAGCGAGTGTTTCTCCCATCCCGGTGGGGACAAAGGGGGTTGGGCGACATGCAAGGGTTGGGCTACGAGACAACAACTAACAAGTTTAGATCGCAGTCCAATTATTTCATTAAGAACAGGGGCGACTATACATATAGTGGGATATATAATATCTTATTATGAAGAATAGCTGACGCTTTGCCGGGCGACGATCCAGAGATCGGTACCGTCGGGCTTGGAGAGAAGGAGGGCGCCAAAAGAGTTTCAAGAATTGATAGGCGAGAGCTAATTCGTAGCCGTTTGAGGACGAGTTGTCTTGGCCTGCGCCTGCGATTGAGAGGAACGAGGGCGTGCCGAACGGGGACGTGAACTGCGTCGTGTGCTGTCCTGCGACGCAATGTAGTTCAATGCGGGAACTACACTGGATGTCAGCTAATCTCTTGATGACACTGGAGAAAAGAAAAAGGGATAAAAAAACTTACTGCTGAACCCATATCCGTCCGTCGCACCTTCACGGTTCTGAGGGTCAATCTCCACGCGGATGGACACGTCCAAACCGCCGTAGACGCCACTTCGGTTGCTGAAGCCGTCCGCCGCCGAGTAAGACGAGCCGGCTTCGGCTTCGGCCTTATGGAGGGGAGAATGTCCATCTTTCGGCAGATGTTCGATGGCGCAGCTGCTCTGGGGAATTGAACCGTCCTCGTTGGGGACGGGCGGGTCGACCTCGGTGATGCACGCGTAGTTTCGGGATGGCATAGTGACCTTGTTCCACGAGGCACTCTTTTCCTGGCCACCGGGTTGCCGGTCAAACATATCCATCAGAGTCTCGTCCGTATCCGCGTCCAGGTGGTGGATTTTGTTCCGCTGTGCCAAAAGGTTGGCGACGGCCTTGGGCGGCGGCTTGTTGGTGATCGCACTGCTGACGATGTTGACCATGTACCGGGCGTCGTTGTCCGTCTGTAGGCCCAGCTTGGGGTTCGAATAGAACCGGCCGATGGCGGCCAGATGGACGTCGCCGCCTAGGATCGTCACGCGAACGGAGTGGGCCTTGGCGAAATCCTGGAGACGTTGAATGAAGACGCGCCGCTCGCGCTTGTGCTGACGGGCGGTATAGTGGTCGTCCAAGTCGTCCAGCAGATCGACCTGGCCGTCAAACTGATTGAAGAAGCCGCCGGCAAACCCGAAGCGCTTGTTCAGCAGGCGAATCGGGGCAATCAGGGGCGAGCTCAGAATATTCTCCAACCAGGCCAAACGGGGGTACGCGATGGGCACGCCCAGCAACACGACCAGGTGTTTGATATCCCCGGCGGCGGCGGATACCTCGTGTTCCAGCCGAGCGAAAATGTCGTCGTAGGTATCCGGATAGTTTACCTGATGACGCGTGCGCTCGGTACGGGCATCCACGCCGATGAAGGCAATTCGCTTGCCCAGACGCATGTAGAGATTTCGACTCCGCTCTTCTACGTAGGGGCCGGGGCGTCTGCCAATGATCCAACTGTCATCCTCCGGCTGGTTTTCCAGCACGAAGGTATTTTCCAGCTGCCGGGGATCGGCTCCGGCTGTACCGTTGACGGCCTGCATGGTTTGCGGGGCGTCGGTGGTGTAGGTGGACTTGGGCGGTGCGATGTGGTGCTGGAACAAGCAGTAGTACTTGAAGGCGACGCCTCCGATGCCGCGAAAGACGGAGCACCGCATGAAATGGTCGGTGTAGGAGCCGAAGCCGTCGATAATGTCGTGGTCATCCCAGATGTTGATCTGCGGGATCCGTCCGTTGGCCGCCTTGAACGGCTCGGTCGAGTACCAGCGGATGTAGTTGGCGAAGTAGTAATCGTCGCATTCAGCACGCATGACATTGTTGAAGTCGTGCGCGCGTCTCTTGTGCGGATTGCTAATGGCGGTCCACGGCTTCAGGGGACCGTCCACGCGAATGCCGTCGTTGTAAAGCTGGTCCCCACCTCCGATCATGGCGTGGAAGGGCTTCTGCGCATGTACCCGCAGGACATCATTCCACAGACTCGGACCGAGCCAGGCGTCCATGTCGGTGCCAACGGAAAAGCCATTGCAGGAATGGAACATCAGGCGCATAGACTGCGACGCCGAGGGGACGACGAAGTCCCAGGAAGTGATGACTTCCGGACCGTCGGCATACCGAAAACCGGGGATGCGGTACTCCCAGCGCGACTCGTAGGATTCCTGGGTCACAGCGATAGAGAACCGCCAGAAGGCCTTCCCGGGATCTTCATAGAGGCGGAGACCCTCAACTGTAGTCTCCTGGGATGCGGCGCCATTGACCGCCGCGCTGTCGCCGACAGGACCGGCCTGGCGCAAGAGCAGCTGCGGCGGAGTCTGACCGGGCTTGGTGACAATTAACACGCTGCCACGCCAGACGGACGATGTCGGAGTCACGTCCATGTTCTTGAAGTTGATCAAGGGGCCGCAGACTACGTCAATCTGGGTCTGCGCAGTAGGCGCAAAGCCTTGGAACGCGCACGACGCGACGTCAGCGACAGGCGACGCAAGAAAAAGGGAGACAACTCACCCGGGGCGGGCTGCTCGGCCATGCTGTAATTAATGTAAGGAAAGGCAAGGAATGATGCTTCCTAGACGACGGAATTGGGGGTTGTTTTGAGAAGGAGGGCAATGCAATGAGCGTCCGGGGATTAATAATCAATTAAGTTTTGGTTGTTTTTAGGGAGAGACGAAGAAGACAAGATACAAATACGAATTGGAAAGGTAAAAAATTACAGAGTCAATAAAAAAGGGAAATTGAAAAACCCGGAATTCCAAAGCAAAAGAAAAGGAAAGGAAAGTGGCCAAGAAGGAGGGAGTCAATTGAATGGATGGAAGGAGAGGTTGAGTTTGCACAAGCGAGACAAGTGGATCGAAGGAGTGAGAAGGGAGAGTCAATCAGTAGTCAGTACTACTCCGTCTGGGGGGGGTGGAAGAGAGAAAAGGAAAGGGAAAGGGAGAGATGAAGAATAAGGCTGACTGAATCGCCCCGGTGACTATGACCAGCAAGCCAAGACTTGCGCGAACCACCCGCCGATCCATCGCCCCCCCTGACGCTCTAATTTGCACTGCCCAGACGGCGGAATGCAGATTGAAATCTACTGCGTACATCCGGAAGGATTGACTCAAGTCTTGAGCTTCTTTTTAGGGCTGCAAGTGGCATCCATTGCGCACGTGACACCTATACTTCCTGGTTACTCTGTACACATACAAAAAATCAAACATCAAAAGATCGCATTCAAGCCAAAGGTACAACTAACACAAAATCCTGCCGCTTGTACCACCAATTGCTAGCAGTCAAGAAGAGGGCTCGGCTGAAGACGGGGGCTGCCAAAAGTGTCCGCTTCGGAAGAAAGTATCCAACGGTCATCCTGACTCTCCAGAACAGGCGCCATCGAGCAGTCCTCGCTGGAAGTGTGCTCGATGTCAATGCCGATCTCGCTCAGGAAACGTCCAAACAGGCGACGATGGCCCGGAGTGTCCAATCCCGGGTACGTCTCGACAAGTTCGAGAAAGCGTTCCAAAAGTAGGGCCAGCGGTATCTTGTGAAAGTCCGTTGCTTCGAAGATCAACGACGGCTCGGCTGCCACCACATCCGGGGATTGCACGCCTGAGGAATCACCCGAGGAAGGATCACGATGGGCCGATTCGCTCGGAGACTGGAGTGGCGAAGGTGTCCCAGGAGGCTCAATTCTTGCCAACATCTTCTTCAGGACCTGCTCGGGGGTTTCCACTGGCAAAGCAGTTGCGGGACGCATGAAGAGACCTTCCAGTTTCCATTCTGTTCGTTCTCTTCTCAGAGATCGCTCTCGGCGACGGAGCATATTGCACGTGTCAAGGCTTGGGGCGTGCCATGACTTGTCTTTCAAACTTCCGCTTTCGGCAGACTGGCTGAAAGTATAAAGATCGTTGGTGTATTTGTCGATGGCCCCTTTGCGGTTGTAATCCCTCATCGTATGGCCGTCGCGGGAGGCAAACCACGCCCGGTACGAGGCTCGCTGCAGAATCAGACGACAGTCCTCCATGTAGGTGGTGAGGGTTTTGGTGAATTGGTTGCATGCCGTCGGATCCATGCCAGAGAAAACTGCCGCAAAATCGATCACCCATTGACTGAGTAGAATGGTAATGACAATCTCGAGGCCAGGGTCGTCGCCGGTACGGGGGATCATACAAAGGGCGTGGCAGGTGAGAATCCCCCTTCCCACGTCGGCTGTGCCAGAGAGCACCGAATCCAGCACACCGATCAACTCGGGGATGGAGAGACGGTACATGGTGAAGCCCTCGTCCCACACGCACCAAATGTCGTCGGTTTCACCGGGAAGCCAATGAAACTGGCGGACGAAGAGAGTCCGGCTCCTGTACTCGAAACCTAGGACATAGCTCCTCCCCTCGAAGGAGGATCCCCCGTTGCTCACGGGCAGGATCCAGGACAAAAACTTAGGATCCTCCCCAATGTTGGACGGATCGAATGCCTCGTCGTCGAAAAGCTCACGGTAGGATACCGGCCGGCAATCAAGCCCGTCGTATACATACATGCCGTTGCGTCGCGAGTGGATATCCGTACCCTTCTCGATCCCACAAAGGTACAGGTGGTAATCTACCACGTCCCACGGGTGACAAACGTTGTGAGTAAGTTGCTGAGCTTGCTTACTCTGGGGATTCGACTCGGTCGAGCGGTACGATGCCAACGATGCAGTCTCGGATATGTCACCGTCATAAGCGTCTTGCAATTCCGTCGTATCGGTCTGTCCTTTGCTCGGAGTATGTCGCAAAGCTCCGTCTTCCGAAAGAACTTGGTCAATGTCTCCAAAAGAGAAGTTGTCACTCTCCATGATCCTTTGCGCGTACTTGATCTCTCCCCAGCTCTTTCGGAGCTTGAACACAAAAGGGATTGGCTCTTCTCTGGCCGCGGCACGGTCAACTCTGAAAGGCATGGCTGCAAGACTCTAGAAAGAGTAAGGGCTCTAGGGCCGATGGAAGGTGTTTGATGGATTGTAGAAGCAAGAGGAGCTCTGTTTGCGGATGACGGACAAAACTAGGTGAGCACAAGGGAGTGATACAAAAAACCAGAGAGAAAGCAGAAGAAACTGAGATTTTATGATGAGAAAACAAGTATGAGAGATTCCTGCAGAGGGGAACGAGAGGAAGGGGACAGGAGAGAAGATGGCAGTGGGCTTCGCGGCCCTTTGTAGGTGCAGAAGCGAAGTGCTTTCACCTCACATCTGTCACAGACTGGGACATCAGCAAGGTGAGCAATGAGCATAAAGACTTTCACCCACGCAAGTTGTTTCTAGGGTCCTACCACTGACGATGCCGGCTCACATCAGAGTTGAAGCTCTGAATCATGAGCCACACATCACCAAGACATCAACGGCTCCTATAGGATGGAGATCTAGAACCCTATGGCAAACTGCGGTGTGCCTGACAAGTGATGCGCCTCCGATGTTCCACCCTCATGAAAGAAGACTTCTAGAACAGACCCTCCCCAGCAGGGAACTCAACTTTGGCTCTCCACAGACCCACTCTACCTTCCTAGAGTCAGCATTAGCAATGACTGTTGCTGAGTGTTGACCAACCCTCCACGTGCTACGAGTGAGACAGGTTTCTCCACCAAACACAGAACAGAAAGTCAGAAACCCTTTCAACAAGAAGTCCCAAGCAAGAAGATACTTTCTTTTTGGGGCCGGCCAAAAGCGAAGAACACAGAGATATTTTCTCCACTCACGGCTATGCAGATATAACCCGCCTGGTCCGAAACTCGACACCACAAGTTGATTGGTATCCGCAGATAGCGGACCTAAGCCTATATCCTTCTTCCTGAGAGAGGCATGCGGAAAACCAGCAACATTGGGTATTATCATTGTGGTACAAAGGGAGACATCAAATATGTGAAAAGTATAAGATAATAAAACAAAGAATGAAGAGGCAGATCCAAACAATGTCGGTTTATCCCCACCATTTCCAGCCTGAACCGGGGGGAAATCTACCTTTACTCGCCCCAAAGAAACCGTTCAAACCAAGACCTGTTTTTGAAACGCTCCTTTTCTTGTCGTTTGTATGCCGCGGCCCAGAGAATTCCAATGAGGAATCCGCCCAGGTGGGCCCAGTAGTCCACTTGGACTGCTTTGGCTCTCATGCCGACAATATCGAAAAGGACAAGGCCTGCAAGGAGGACGTATCCCGGGGCAGATACAACCTCTTGCCATTCTTTGGGGAGGAAGAAAATGGTGAAGGAGTCGCTATCGGAATGACGCCAAGAGTTAGAACAATCCCAAATTTTCCCGGATATAAACAGGTAGGGTCGTCAGCGAATACTTACTTGAGGTGAAGTGTGCACAGAGAGCCAAGAACACCACTGAGTGCTCCGCTAGCTCCAAGTGCGGTCAGCGTTAACCTGCCCATGAGTACATTGACTGTCAACGAGAGGAAGGAACCAAAGATGCCGGAGGCAAGGTATACGGCCAGAAAGTTTCCTCGGCCAATGTCGTCGTGGACTAGGCCACCAGGGGAAAAAATGATCAGTCAGCATTCACGTTAAAGGGGAGTGTTGGGCAAAGCTCACGCCGGGTTCCCACTATCCAAATACCCAACATGTTTGCGGCCAGGTGTTTGATCGATTGGTGGCTAAAGGTATTTCCCACCAAGCTAACGGTACGAGGGTAGGCGGCGACGGTAATGAAATACCGATTGAGCATCCTCCACGCAGGGGGGCATAAAGTCCATAAGGCGTATATGCCAACATTAGCGCCAATGATAGCCATGACTGTGGCTGCCGCCGGAGGTATCGTAGGCCAGATTCGGTCTGCCTTTGCCGGAGGTTCGTAATTTAGTGCGAAGACGTAGCAAAGGCCGAGAGCAACGACGGTGAAAGCAAGAGCCGGAAGCAACCGACTGCTCTATACACGATAGGAAAAGAGGTTAGTATTCGTGAATATCGACGTGAGGCCACAGATTAGCGACTTACGGTGGTGACATGGGAGATATCCATATCCCAGTCTGTTGCTCGGAGGTGATGCTTCTGTATCCATGCGAGGAGAGGACGCTGAGATGGATCTGCACGCGGGCGGGCTATAACGGGAGTATCAGCATCTCCAAGTACAGAAGATATTTGACATGAATAAGCCTTTACCTTCCAAGGCCGTTGAGTCTTCGTATAGTTGAAGATCCGTGTTGCGTTTGACCATTTGCTGCATCTTCTCACGTTCCTGTTCCTCGCCCTCGAGCCATTTTTGACGTCGCTCTTCTTCCTCTGCCAAAATCCTCGCCTCGTTCCGCTGTCTGGTCTCTTGTAAGATACTTCGGCCGGATGGGTCATTGGAGTCTCCCAGTTCTGCCCCAAAGGAGCCACTCTGAGGCTTGTAGAGACCTAAGCTCTCAGCGCGTCGAATGAGTTTTTCTTCCTCCTCACGCGCCTCTCTTTCAAATCGGGAAAGTATAGCTGCATCCTCATCGAGTGGATAGTGTTCGCGAAGCCACTCCAAGGCTTTGTCGCGATTGGGTCCGCGGACGGCCGATGTGATATCCTTAGGAAGATCTAGCTCTGGAGTGCCATTGAGACGTCTGCCGTGCAGTACAGCAAGCACACGATTTCCCATGTGGAGGGACACCCTTGCGCCGGGACCAAAGATCGCATTGATCTCAGCCTGCGAAAATGGCTCAGCACGGGGCTTGATACCATCTTCCCGCGGCGGGGCCGACTGAGCACGGAGAGAGCCGGAGTTTGCGAACGAGCGAGCGAGGGAGAGCGAGAATGGCGATTGAATCGATCCGCGAGGCGAAGGGGGACGGTGCAAAAATGGCAACGGGCTCGAAAAGCTGAAGGGGCGCCTGGGTACATTAACCGATGCTCGTGTAGAGGAAGAGACGCAGCTGAGTAAACGGAGCGACGTGGGTTTCGACGGGAGCAAGTTGGAGGGACAAAGCCCCGGGCATGGAACGCGCCATGCTACGCCGAACGCATTGTTCATATCCTGCGATAGCGGGCTGCACCCGAGCCTCTACCAACTCGTGTCGAGAGTTCAAGGGTGGAAACTCAATGATGGTAGAGGAGGAATGCGGGCACGACGGAGACTAGATATGGCGACGGTGATGGTGCCAGAAGACGGGATTTCTCCGGGCCGCCGAGCAGTTGTTCCGAAGTATTGATTAGCATCAATCGAGCGGTACCTGAATCAGTGACACCGCCCACGACTTGCGATCCACCGGGTTGAAATCATCTGGCATCCCTGGCCAGGGCTGTTCCTCCCTCCGCATTCTTGGGGTGGTGTGCGACTGTGCGCAATGCATCGTGATGTACGGGAGTTGCGCTCCAGACTTCAAGGGGCCTGTCGCGGCACGTGGAGATAACCACATACGGTCACGTGCTGATAGACGACTGATAAGCAAGTCGCTCGTCCAACTCGAACTTCCCATCTTGTCTCAGCTTCATTTCATCCTCAGAGGAACCCCGGAGAAGACAAGATAGAGCCCACCATGTCTGCAGAATCCATTCCCATCACTCCCGCCATGTTCGCTGAGGCGATTCAGGAGCTGTCCCTCTCCATCCTGTACGCCAAAGCTTCGGAACTTCGGAACTCCATCGCGCATCTGCAGCGCTCAAACGCGGAGTTGGAAACGTTTGTGCAGGAGTCATGCGATTCGGCAGAAGATAAGCGAGAACTGGAAAGCTACATCACTGAGAACAAGGGTGTGATGACGTCTATGACGGAAAGAATTGCCCTGTTGAAGGCGGAAGTGGAACGCCGGGGCCAGCAGTGGATCGAAACGGAGGAAAAGCGAACAGAGGCGGCGCTGGTGAATGGAACAAATGGAGCCAGCGCGAGTACGGCGCAGCCGGATGCTTCTATAGCGGGTGAAGGACAAAACGAGGCACAGCCTGATCAGGATCAAGAAGGCGTTTACCTTTAACACGGCCTTTGTCTCTCGCCTTGCTCTTTCAAGGTTGAAAGAGGGACGCTCAAAGTACTGCCTCGTTAGGAAATCATCGACCATCCCGAACGATCGCGCAACTCTACATGACAGAAGCTCATGACTATCTGGCCACTGCTGGACTTGCATTTACCTCGCGCGAAGATCTAGCGACGGAGCGCACAACCTCGTACCGAGACAGTTCACCTACTGCGGCGGTTCGGTTATGCACAATCTTTTGGGATACTGCCGATCGGAAGAAAGGGCCTCGATTAATTATTCTTAATATTTATTTATTGTTCCGGCTTGTTTCACGAGGGTCATTTCCACGTCACGCTAGTTCCAGGAAAAGTCAATAGATCTCAACAAACGACAACAGGAGGGATCGATGCTCTGTTTATCATCTAGGCCAAAAGAAAAAGAAAAACAGACAGAACAAACATTTGGGTGGATAATTGAATCTCGACAGAAAGAGGTTATGCAAGGGTAACAGGAGAAAGAGGATATTCACATCGCATGCTAAATGCTTAATTTCTTGAACTCTGGGTCATACCGTCCGTTATTTGTCACGCACGCAGGGAGTAAAAGACACCAAGAAAGAGGTTCCAACACCAGGTCAGAAGGCTAAGTGATTGCCAATGAACGTAGGGGAGAAAGGCACTTGTTCTCTGGCTCAACCAGAGTTCGGCTGGCCCCAGTGACCGCCCGACAAGGCCTCGGGAGGGATTCTCTGTTGCTTGATGAACAAGTCAATGAGGGGCTGCATAGGCTCCATCTCCTTATCAGAGACAAGCTTGTAATACTTGGCAACGGTCACGAAGTGGACAAAGCACATGTTAAGAATGTCATGCTTGTTGATATGCCAGAAGGGGTTCAGCCAATGCGCATGGTATAGATGTGCGTAGCATCGGAACATTTGTTTCATGATGCCTTGGCAGTCTTTGTAAAACGTCTGGGGGAAGCCGCTGGACTTTCCAATCCACTCCTCCCCAGTAGCGCTTGCTCCCGGGCTGGAGGGATTCGTGCCCCCCGCCTCGTGAATTGCAAATGTCTCGGGCATGCCGGTGACTTTGTCTGTGGGGAACATGACGGGGTCGTGGATCTTGCTAACGATCCATTTTTCAACGCGATTGATGAATTTAGGGGCTGAGATCTTCGCAGCGCGGCCATCCACAAGCCAGGTGTAGGTCAGCCTGAACAAAGGTAAGATCATTAGCCGATGGGATTCTTCGTCAAATGCTCATCTAAAGCGATATGACTTACCGCCCAGCCGACATCGTGGGGCAGGTAGCCTCGTTGCAAATGGGAAAGCCAGTCACGGAGTTGACATCCTGGATGACTTGGAGCATCCCATGGAGCAGGCGATATTGTTCGACAACTGTTCACATCACAATGTCAGAGGATCGGAACTTGCGAACGCCCTTGAGGTTCGGAGGATCCACTTACTCTGGTGAGCCAGCCATTCTCCCAATTCGACATTCTTGGGGCAGGCACACAGAGTCAAAAAGTTACCCTTCACGTTTAAGGGGGCGTATTTTTCCTGGAAGAAGTATTTTGGGGCGTCGGGGTCATAGGGTGCGGGGCCGTCCACGGAGAGATTTGACGCGACAGAGGGCGAGTTGGGCACAGATCCCGCCTGAGGCATCTGGGGAACCGGCGACTGAGCCGGGCTTCCATTGTTGGTTTTCGGGGCGTTGTTGTTATTCTTGTTGTTACCACCACGGCCGAACCCTTGACGACTGTAGAATCGAGAAACAAGTCAGAATACGAAATGTGGGGAAGAACTTCAGGAAAAGGGGAAGTTTCAAGGTAATGTGAAGGAAAGAGGGGAGGCGAAGCAGAACGAATTGAAGAGTGACAGTGTTGAGTTTTTATACTTCCGGCGCACATCATGCTGCAGCTTTAGGGGGAAGCGAAGGAAGCAAGAGAGACGAGTCCGAGCAGGGAGGGGGGAAAGTTTAAGGGGACAACAATCTATGGGGAATGGGGAGAGCAACCGGGGAGAGATGAACGTAGACCAAGGGCAACTTACACGCTCTGGAAGAAGGTCGCCATGATGACTTTCGCGGAGCAATCAAGCAGACGAAGGAAAGACGACGAGAGGAACGAGATCGAGTAGGAGGGAGAAAGCGAGGATGGAAACAGAATGAGATGCAGTGGAATCGATGAAACTGCGCTTCTCCTCTATCGGTCTGGCCCCGTCCAGCTGCCTGCCGCCGCTAAGCCCCGTTGGGTCCGGCTCGGATCATCTGCCGCGCCGCCTCAAAGCTCCGCGGCCTGCGTTTCTCGTGAATGCTATCGTCTCCTCTCTCTCGCTCGCCTCACACAGTACACTTCCTTCATCACCTACCATGTCTTCGTCGGATGAGGATGTGGTTCGTCGGCCCGGTCGGAGCTCGGGTGCTGGTCAACCCGCGAGCCCTTCTGGCAGCGAGCGTAGCAACCCTGCTGCTGCACCCGAAAGTCCGGCCGGCCTTGATGCGGGCAATCTGAATGGCGATGATGACGATGCCGATCTCTTTGGTTCGGATGGGTCAGATGGAGGGTTTGGCAACGATGATGAGTACGTGCTCTGCCCAAGAGATGACCCCTTCTAGACATATTTCTAGGTCCTCTAGGAATAAGGAGCAAAGGAGGACCGAAAATAACACCAGTCGCTAACCTTGACACCAGCCAACCAAAACGGATTCTGGACGACGAAGAACTTGACTCGGGCGATGACGAAGATCGACTTGATCGAACTGGGGAGCGCATGGACTATGAGGATGGCGATCAGGGTGAATACCAGGAAACGGTGAACATTATGGACCTGAGCCTGGGTCGGGCGCCGGAGCCGGTAACTTCCAATGGCGAGGTACGTGGAACAATCTAGGCCCAAGCGCGAGTTTTTCTCTCGGCTGACACTGTCGGTATTAGATCTATACCATGCCAGTTCCCAACTTCTTGTCGGTGGAGACCGAAGAGTTCAACCCTGAAACATATGTTGCGCCCCCATACTCGACCGCCGCTACGTCTCTCTGCTGGCGGCACGACCCCGATAACGATGCCCTTCTTCAGTCGAACGCCCGTATCATCCGCTGGGAAGACGGTTCAATGACTCTTCAGATGGCTTCAGCCCCTAAGGAACAGTACAGAATTTCGACAAAACCTCTGGCGCCGCTCAACAAGTCGGGCGAATATGATACCAAATTGGACTCGCACGTGTATTTGGGAGCTGCCGCAGAAACGTCATCCGTATTCAGATTGACGTCTCACCTAACACATGGACTTACTGTTTACCCAACGACCATGGAGACCGACGACGCCGTTCAGCGTCTCCAAGAGTCATTGGCCGCAGCCACTCGTGGCAGCAAGAAGACCGCGGATGGATCGGCTCCTGTGATTGAAGTGACGGAGGATCCCGAGCTTGCGAAACGACAGGCGGAAATGGCAGAGCGGGAGAAACTGAAGGCTGCTCGTCGACGCCAGCAACTTGCCGACCGGGAGCTCGACCGCGGCCGTCGCGTCGGCGTTTCTCGTACCGGGGGTGCTGGTCTCACTGTCGGTGGATTGGAGGACGACGACGGATTGCTCACCACGAGGCCTCGGGCCAAAAAGCCGCGCAAGCCCAACCGCCGTGGTGAAATCTACACCGATGACGAGGATGATTACGACCGCAGGGGACACACGAGGGAGGATGAATATGATGAAGATGACGGCTTCCTGGTTGGCAGTGACGAAGAGCCTGAAGTTGCCGATGACGACGATGACGAGGATCTTCTTGAGGACGAGGACATGGATGCAGAGGGCGATGAAGACGAGCCCGCCGCCAAACCCAAGCAACGACGAGCATCTCCGGGAGAAGCGGCCGGAACTCCTCCTGCCCGAAAGAAAAATCGTTTCATTGTGGATGATGACGATGATGAATGAAGCGTCTGATGCGATTTTCTCCATCCCACCTAGATCATGTCCTCTATGAATATTGCTTTAGTCACGGCACTCTGTATCTATATCAAATTTTCTCATGGGTAATTTATTCCTCAGCGAACGAGTGGTCATTGTGCGTTCTGGTGTTTTTAATCGATCTTAAAACAAAAGAATAGAAGCGAATCTTGCAAGATGCGTGCTGAATACAGAGAAGTTGGGTTTGTAATTATGTATGTACATGCATGTCTTCCAGAGCGAAAAAGTCGTATATCGTCAAATCAGCGAACACCGGCAGCATGGCCGCCTCAGAAAGAGACGCTTGAACATTTAAACATAGTCAAAAAAAAAAAAAAGGAAAGAGAAAATAACATCCGCGCCTTGCCGTGGACCTCAATTGTATGTTCAGGGAAAGTCGTACCATCAAAACCCTAACGCCCGAGTATAACTCCATCGTGTTGACATAGGTGAGAAAGAAGTGTTGACGCCAGATAAACCAAACGATCGAAAGGCACGAGCGCTCTTTAGGCGACCACGCCGTCCGGATACTCATGCCGCTGAAATCCAAATTTCGCAATGACTTCTCTGGCGCTATTGACCACCCGCAAACAGAGATAGTCCTGCTCCTCTTGCGCATCGTACGTTTTGGCACAATGCGCAGGCGGCATATTCAAGCGTTCCTCCGGCGGAAGCGGATGGGATTGATGCCATCTGCGCTGGCGAGCCTCCATCTCTTGGATGAGACAGAGCAGACTTGGCGCATCCGAGCATTGAACGGAGCCAGCAGGGTCACTTGGCCCACCAAGAACCGCGCTGCGAACTGTCTGACGCAGCCATTCCTTCCAGCTTTCGGCAGGATCCGAAGAATTCTGAGTAACGGCCTGCACATAGCTGGATGGTGCCGCTTGCTTCCCAAGCTCAACGGGGTCGGCTTTTGATACGCGCAGCCAAGCGTCACCCATGACATTTAGCAAAGTTCCCGTGAACATGACATTCTGTAAACCAGTGGCAAACTTTCGTGGACAGGCTTGACACTGTATTACTGCGCGCGCAGTCTTGGCGCCAATGAACAACGAACACAGGGTATGCTGGGAGACTGGAAACGGGGCAAGCGAGGACAGATGACTGAGACACAAATACAAGTACGATAAACATGTGCATTGGGGTTCGAGGGAGTCTGAATTGGATGGAGACAGCGGAGGAGATTGTAATTGTGGCAGGCCTGGAGGATGTGTGAATGAATTCGACGCTGCCGCGGATACGCTAGAAAAGTCAGGCCATGGACTGGAAGTTGCTGGAACCGGATCTAAAAATTTCCCATGGTCCAGTTCCCACGAGTGACTGTGGTTGTTGTCTGTGGACACCAGATGAGGGTATGCCTCTGGCGTACTGAAAGGAGTAGCATAGACTGGAGCACAATAAGGATATGGTTCTGCTGCGACGGGTGTATCTGTTCCAAGCGAAGCGAGGTGAGAGCTATCGGAGTCAGTCCACCCTTCACTGCCTGACAGACCAAACTGAGCAGGGTTATCGTCTTCTCGCGCCCGCTTCTTTGGTGGGCGTCCCATTTGCTTTTGTACAGAATAATGGCAGACGAGAGATTGTTTGAGGCAACGACTACACCCTGATGCTTCACCTGAGCATTTCAATTTTCGACTCCCTATTCCGCAATCATTTGGTGAGCACACTGATATCTGTCCGAAGATCTGGGGTTATGAGACCTACTGCACTCGTCACAAGCCGCATGCCTCTTCAGCGCCTGAGCGGGGGGTGCGGCGATATCTTGGGGGCAGATCCCACCCGTCAAATTCGGAAGTGGCTCTTTCCACTCGGTATTATCAAACTGCATGATAACGAAGAATCCTCGGCGCTAGCATCCAAGGCACTTATTATCTCGATATCAATATCATGAATGATCTCCAAAGTTTGGCGCGAAGAAATGGCCACGATAAGATGACCCCGCGGGCGGTGTGTCACGTGGGCGGTGTGTTCATCGGGTAGTCCCAAAAGGTAAAAAAAAAAAAAAAGTTCCGGACAGGAAAAAGAAGACGAAAGACTAAACAGATTCACGCAGGACTCGGTGTCATTCCTCCACTATGCCTGCTCTTAAGGCTTCGAAAAAACGCAAGGCAGTCACTCGCGATGTCGAGGAGGAACCAGGTGTCTTTTCAGGCGATGAGTTAAACGGAGATGGCCTGGACGGCGCACTTGATGCCAACGACCTGTCGAGCGATGAAGATGATTCGGAGGTTGAATTGGTGGACGAGTTCAGTGACGAAGATGATGATGAGGAGGAGCTGGACAGTGACGAGATTCCCTCAGATGGAGAAGAGCTCGCCGAAACAAAAGCCAGCAAACCAGCGGAAGACGATGAGAGCTCCGACGAAGAACAACCGAACTTTCGCATTGAGAAGGACGCCAATGGGAATGATCGCTTTCTGTATGACGAGATCAATCCCGATGACAACTCAGAGTACTCCGATGCCGACGAAAACGCCAACACCATCGGTAACATTCCCCTGTCGTTCTACGATTCGTACCCTCATATCGGTTACGATATCAATGGAAAGAAGATTCTGCGTCCCGCCAAGGGAGAGGCTCTTGACGCACTACTTGACAGCATTGAGATGCCCAAGGGCTGGACTGGTTTGACGGATCCTTCGACGGGTAAACCCCTGGAATTGAGTCAGGATGAGCTGGAGCTGTTGCGCAAGGTCCAGATGAACGAAGTCCCGGATGATGAATTCAACCCCTACGAACCACTGATGGAATGGTTCTCCAACAAGGAGGAGATCATGCCTCTGAGCGCTGCGCCGGAACCGAAGCGTCGATTCGTGCCATCCAAACACGAAGCTAAGCGGGTCATGAAAATCGTGAAGGCCATTAGAGAAGGACGTATCTTGCCCTTCAAGCCTCCGACTGAAGAAGATGAGGCTGATCAAGACATCATTAAATACGATTTGTGGGAGGATGAAGCAGAACGCCCGGATCATCCTATGAATGCACCTGCTCCTAAACTTCCGCCACCGGGCTATGAGGAGAGTTACCACCCCCCTGCCGAATATTTGCCCGACAAGAAAGAACGGAAAGCCTGGGAGGAGGCGGATCCGGAAGATCGGGAGCGCGAATTCCTTCCCAATGATTTTGGCTCTCTTCGAAAGGTTCCTGGGTACGAGTCTTTTGTTAAGGAGAAATTCGAGCGTTGCTTGGATCTTTACCTGGCTCCTCGGGTTCGGAGGAGCAAATTGAACATCGACCCTGAAAGCCTTCTCCCTAAACTTCCTAGCCCTGAAGAACTGAAGCCGTTCCCTACCGCTTGCGCCACAGTGTTCCGGGGGCATAAGGGCCGTGTTCGTTCCCTGGCTGTGGACCCCACGGGTGTGTGGCTTGCTACTGGTGGTGACGATGGAACTGTCCGAGTCTGGGAGCTTCTGACCGGCCGTCAACTCTGGAGCGTTAAGATTGGTGATGAGGAACCTGTCAATGTGGTTCGCTGGAGACCTGGAAAGGACGCCGTGGTGCTTGCGGCCGCAGCCGGTGACGATATCTTCCTTGCGGTGCCTCCGATTGTCGACCCTGAAATCGAACAAGCCAGTTTGGATATCCTGGATGCCGGCTGGGGCTTTGCGGCCACGAGGCCTCCTCCAAGCGTTGCCGAGGAAAACAAGAAGAACACTCCTCCGCAATGGATCCGCCCCTCGGCTTCCCTTGCAGATTCCGGTATCTGTGCGGTTATTCCTCTTCGCTATGTGGTCAAATCTATCTCCTGGCATCGCCGCGGTGACTACTTCGTCACTGTGTGCCCCGGATCTTCCACTCCGGCTTCCGTGGCGATTTCCATTCACACACTCTCTAAGCATATGACCCAGTTCCCCTTCCGCCGACGCATCAAGGGTGGTGGTCCTCCACAGACGGCTCACTTCCACCCTTCGAAGCCGATCCTCTTTGTTGCCAACCAGCGGACCATTCGCGCATACGACCTCTCGCGACAGCTCCTTGTCAAGATTATCCAACCCGGTGCCCGCTGGATCTCTTCCTTCGACATTCATCCGACTTCTTCTACCGCCTCTGGCGGCGACAACCTCATTGTTGGATCGTACGATCGACGTCTTCTGTGGCATGATCTCGAGCTGTCGCAGCGTCCTTACAAGACTCTGCGGTACCACCGCAAGGCCATCCGTTCCGTGCGTTTCCACCCCGGTGGCCGGTACCCTCTTTTCGCCGATGCCAGTGACGATGGCTCCCTTCAGATCTTCCACGGCAGCGTCACAGGTGACATGCTCAGCAATGCCAGTATCGTACCCCTCAAGGTGCTGAAGGGCCATAAGATCACCGGGGAACTGGGTGTGTTGGATATCGATTGGCATCCTCGAGAAGCCTGGTGTGTCAGTGCGGGTGCCGATGGAACTTGCCGCTTGTGGATGTAATTACAAAATCTCTTTCCTGTCTCTATGTTCTTGCCATATCTATCTACATGGGGCGTTTGGTGTGTATGAATGTTACTGTTAGATATCCATTAAAAAGTTCTCGCCCCATAATTCTTTATTTCTTCCTCGTTTACAACTCTCTTTGGCGGCTATGTAGTGTAAAGTTCTCTTCCAAAAACACACTAATCTATGCGAGAAAGGACACTGCGAAGTCGCGATCTCATCTATATAGATAGGGCGGGGTATATATGATGGGAGTATAAGAAAGAGCAAGGATAAATAGGAAATCTATGGTATTTACAGTTTGCGGGGAGGACCTCCACCCCAGTCCTTTTGCAGTTTTTCGTACTTCTTCAGATCCGTCACACTCGGTCGAATGAACTCCTTCGCAGCCACGAAGTCCTGGATGGCGATGGTATCCCGCCTCTTGATGGCCGAGTAACCAGCCCGACGCAGCAAACTTCCCAGGTCAGCACCGCTGTACCCTTCGCACTCCACCGCCAGTCGTTCGAGATCCTCGTTGAACTCGATGGGCAGGTTGCGGACCAGGGTCTTCAGGATTTCGACACGCTCAGATTTATCGGGGAGGGCCACGAAGAGCAGGGTTTCCAGACGGCCTGGACGCAGCATCGCCGGGTCAATGATATCCGGCCGGTTGGTGGCCGCGATAACGTAGATGCCCTGGCGATTGCTGCCGAGGCCATCCAGCTCGGTGAGCAGGGTGTTGACGACGCGGGCCGAGGCTTCGGACAGCGTATCGTCTCGTCGAGGAACCAGAGCGTCGAGCTCGTCGAAGAAAATGACACAGGGGATGGACGAGCGCGCGCGCACGAACACCTGCCGCACGGCACGCTCCGATTCACCGACGTACTTGTTGAGCAACTCGGGACCCTTGACGCTGATAAAGTTGGCGCGCGACTCGTTGGCCACGGCCTTGGCCAACAGGGTCTTACCACACCCAGGAGGACCCCAAAGGAGCACACCGGTGGGCGCCGTAATGCCGACATTGGCGTAGATATCCGGATTCTTGATTGGCTCGACAATCGCTGTCGACAGTTCATCACGAATGCCGCCCAGAGCGCCAATATCCGCCCAGGTGGTGTCGGGGATGGTAGCGAAGCCTTCACGTTTCGATGATGGCTGGATTTTAGGAAGCGCTGTAAAGAAGTCTGCATTGGAGACCAGGACAACTTGGGCTTCCTCGCCCATTGGCGTCTCCTTCGCGTGGGCGATTAGACGGCGCAGCTCCTTGATCTTAGGGCTGATATCATCTACTTCTTCTTCAATTTCCATTTCTTCACCACCGTGAGATTTTAGAAGCTCCAGGTATCTCTTGATAGCGGCAGAGCCAGCCGTGGAAACCAGGTCGTTCAGGTCCGCACCCACAAACCCTGGGGTTCTCTTCGCCAGGGTCTTGAAGTCCAGGTCATCGGCAAGGCGCATCTTGCGCGTGAGGGCTCGGAGGATCTGTTCTCTCACCGGCTCCGACGGCACGGTCATGTTGATTTCCTTGTCAAAGCGGCCTCCTCGACGCAAAGCGGCATCCAAGCTATCGGGCCGATTGGTAGCAGCAAGAACGATAACCGGCTTGCCATCCGTCTTCTCCAGAGCGAGGTCATCCATGCATGTCAAAAGCTGGGCGACAATTCTCTTCTCCATCTCCCTCTGTGCGCTTTCTCGTTTAGGCGTAATGGCGTCGATCTCATCGATGAAAATTAGACAAGGGGCTATTTTCTTGGCCTCCTCGAAGTGCTCCCGTAAAGCCTTCTCGGACTCTCCCGACATTCCGGAGACAATCGACGGGGCCGAGATGGCGATAAAAGGCACCCCCAGTTCTGCCGCAAAGGCATTTGCGATCATGGTTTTTCCGCATCCTGGCGGACCATGCAACAGGACACCGCGCGGGGGTTGCACATTCGATGACATGTAGACTTGAGGGCGGGTCATGGGAAGAATAACAAGATCTCCAAGGTCCTGGACCACGTCGTCGAGGCCACCCAGATCCGACAGACTCACATGGGTGGGGGGTGATCGGTCGACCGCGCTCTCAGCCTTGCGGCGCTTGGAAGAGGTAGATTCTCCCCCATGTTGTCGTCGTTTACTGGAAGAAGTAGTCGCCGGAGGGGCCGACTCGGAATTTTTGGGCTCGGTAGGTTTCGGCTGTTTCGATGTCGTATTCCACATGCCCACCATACTTTTATTGAGACTGTTGGACTCCTGCGACCGGACGAGTTAGCATTGCGCCCATGTACGTCCATAACACTTCCATTGACCTGCCGGAGACAGCCAACTGGCAAGGGTAGGTAGAATCGCATACCGGAACTGGAACCGGTTCCTCCAATCCCTCAAAGTCGCCCTCTACGGAGTCCTCGTCATCCTGCCCAAGCTCGTCGGTTTTGACAACTTCGACCACCCGCTCGATGCTGTCTTCCAGCATGCGTTTGGGTTTCCTGTTCAGGCTCGAGTTGGAGCGCTTGATGGTATCGTAGATCGCGGACGACGAGAGACGAATTTGTTCATTTTTTTCGGATTGATCGTCAATGATTTTGCGCACGATCTGGTAGACCTATATATATTCCAGAAAAGTTCAGCGATATGTACTTCGTCTAAGCTCATCCGGCAGGGACTCTCACCTCCCGATCCAGGCCTTGCCTCAACGTCGGTCTTCCCCCGCGACGCATGATTCCTGAGCCCCGCAGCCGATTGTTCGATCTGAAAAGACGCGGCGAGACCGACGGACATTCGGATTTTCTATAATTTTGTCAATTTTGAAGGCGGTCGGAGAATTGATGTGCCGGCGGTAAGTCCACATTACGGTATTACCACAGGGCTTCTTGACGATTGGACAGAGGACCTTCACCGCCCGGAGTAGCGTGAAATACGGAAACGTGCGTCACGTCATCACTCGGCCTCAGGCTTATCGGTCTTCGATGATCTTATCGAGTCCCGCTGCTCTTGCGACCCCCGTCAACCATGCGATGACAATGGGCAACTCTACCAGCTCCCAGAAAATCTCGGCTCAGGATAGGTAAGTGCTTCGGTCTGGCTTGGTCTTTCTCCTATCATCCACTTTTGTGTTTTCTTTTTTTTTCTTCTTCCTTCTTCACCGAACGGGTATCAAAAGCTGTCCTCGTGATACATTCCATCGGGCCTCCCCTTGAACGGTGCATCTCCGTGTTCAACAGAAGTGTTGCTGAGATCCGGATTTTTCGTCCTTAGAGCAATCCTCGACTTGAAGAACCAGAGGGATAAACTCCATCAATACCAACGGCGGATCACTGTCCTCACCGATCGGGAAACCGCAATCGCAAAGGAATGCCTGGCCCGGGATGATCGCAAACGTGCGCTCCTGGCTCTGCGCCGCAAGAAATACCAAGAATCGCTTCTCGCCAAGACGGACGGGCAACTCGAACAACTTGAACAACTGACCAGTCAGGTGGAGTTTTCCCTCGTCCAGAAGGATGTCCTGTTTGGCCTGCGGCAAGGTACGCAAGTGCTACAAACCATCAACAAGGAGATGGGTGGCATTGAAGGGGTGGAGAAACTGATGGGCGAGACGGAGGACGCCAGGGCGTACCAGGAGGTGAGAATATTCCATGGACAAATGCCAGCTACTGTAGACGTACTAAATATGGTTTCGTGTCATAGGAAATTAGCCAAATGCTGGCTGGTCATTTGTCACATCAGGATGAAGATGAGGTCGAGGATGAATTGGCGGCATTGCAGCGCGAAACACAGAAGCCCATCGATCTTCCCACTCCTCCCATAGCGGCTCCTGCCCCAATCCGACACGAAGAAGGAAACCAACAGACAGAGGCAAAGACACCGGCCAGAAGTGAAGAACGGACCGCAGTTCCAGCTTAACCAGTCGCTCCGGGCGCCTGGAATCTTCATCTCTATTTTCATGTTTAACCAACAACCATTGAAGCATCGCCGGCGTTGAGGGTTTTCGTTACGTATATATTGAAAGTTAAGATGACGAGGGAAACCCATTTTATCAACTCGCAGTTAGACTTTGAGCGTCGTCACATTGATATTCCCCGCCTTTCTCTTCGGTTCGTTTTCTTTTTTTGGCTTCTTTCTTATTTCCTTTTCTTGGCTTTTGCTAGGGAATTTTTCGCTTAGCTTGCGTGTACATCGGTGTACTCACCCTTACCATTGACATAAATCCTCTATTAGGATGTTTGTTACACGAACAACAGTAAAGTCATATTTCTCGTTGCACATATTCGTCAGAATGCATGATGGTCCTAAGTAGCCTCACTGGCCCGGCATGACTCTGCCTCCTACATCGTTCACCCCCTGGATTGCCTTGTGATCACCGGGGTTGGCAGCTGCTTCGTAGAGGAAATTGACCGGCTCCCGATTCAGTGCCATGAACTGACCCTTGAAACCGATGTATCCAACTTTGGTGACCTCTTCCTCCCCATCGCTCCAGTTGTCTTCAAAAAACAAGGTGATGGAGGTGGTGGTATTCCAGTGTGCACGATTCAAGGGCAACTCGAAGATATCTGCTCCCGGAACCGGCTGTGGAACCTCAATTGTTTGAGTGGGCGTGAGCTCCGAGGCCGTTGCAAAATCCAGATCATCCCGGTTCTTGAAAAGTTTCAGGGTTTTGGGAACGGATAGGGTCGGCGCGGTATAAAGAAGGAGTGAATGAACCTTGACTTGTCCGGTAAACCTGGAAATATAGAAAATCAGCAAAGATCGGGTGTTTTTACGGCGGGGTGGAGGGGCACGTGGCGGGGTACGTGGAAGATGAGAAAAAGATCAACAACGAAGACGATGAGACTCCTACAAACGCAGCAGGAAGGGCAAAACATACGGGATATACATAAGCAGTTGCTCGTCCGCATCGCTTTCAAGTTCGGGTTGGTCGTTCAGTCTTTCCGCCCACGTCTTCTGGGCGATCGCAGCCCCGGAGTTTGGAACAGCCTCTATAACCCCACGTCAGGACACACCTCGATCCAAGAGCAGAAAGCAAGGAGGTCGCGTCTAATCATATATCTTCATACCGTTCAACGTCGTGATAGAATCGAACTGGATCTGCGAGTACAGGAGGGACTGAATAGCGGGGGTAATGTCGTTAGAATGATCATGTCCGTCTTCCCCGTGGCAATGCCCGCCATGATCGTGATGATGGTGATTCCCAGACATCTCGAGATTGGAAGAAGGTGATCTGGTTGTAAAGAAAACAAAAGGTGTGTTTGTTCCGCTCGGAAATCGACATGTGACAAAAGGCGGATCTTCTTCCGCTCCGAAGTGTCGAAAACAAAGCCGTCGTATGACGTCAATGGTCTTACTACGCCGTACTCTATAGGGCTGAATGATTTCTACCAGGTACTGTACACCGTCGATTCATTATTCCGTCCTCATAGGGTATATGATCTATTACTTGCCCTCCTCAGCGAGGCAGACAGCCTATCCGTTGAAACGAGGCGCGGCCGAACCCATCATTGAACTTTATAATAGTTGGGCGCATATTCAACAAGGTATCCTTTTTCGATCTTGGTGATATCCCGGATGAAGGTCTTCTCTCCCGTTTGCAATATCTCGTGGAAGATCACCCAGTCTGCTTTCCGATTCTGACGACACCAAGTTAGTAAGAGCCGAGCATCAAGTGGCAAGGACGAGAGAAATACATACAAACATCAGTGAAGTGGGGTGAGCATGCAGTGTGAGACCTCCGCTGACGGTCTTGAACGTTCCATCGGGCTGCATCTTGGCGGCGTGGGCGAAGTAACCGGTCGTGAGACATCTCCGAAGGGATTCGGAGGGATTAGCTAGGCTAGGCTGCTTGGAACGAGACGAAGAAAGGGTCTCGTCAACCTGAATGCCAAACCGCTCGAGATAACGCTTTAGCTGAGCTCTGATGCTCACAGCCCGTAGCAAGGATCGATAGTTCAAGAGATTGTCCCGACACCATTTGGAATCCTTTTTGCCAACTGTAACGAACGCCTGGTATACATTGAGATACGTCAGATGGTCGCCTTCTTCAACGGCGAACTTCCGGCGAGTGCTCTCGGCTGATTTTCTGTCCCCCTCATGTTGCACCCAAACTGATCCCTGGAGGCTGACCATCGCTGCGATGGAAAGGATCTCACTCAAGCAATTGAAGGACTGCGCAGAAAGGAGAACCTTGGCCATCATTGGATCGACTGCCAGTTCAGCCATACGCATGCCCAAAGGTTTTGTGAGCTTGGCATAATCATCCACTGTTCCAAGAGAGTACAGTAGCTCAAACGCACGAATCACAAGCTCGGCAGGAGGCGGCGTTAAAAAGTCGAACCGCACTATGTTGTCTATACCGAGAGCTTTGAGCTGCATTATGACTGGCGCAAGGTTTGATCGTTGAATTTCGGGGACGGTCGCCTCCGAAAGGGCTTCGTACGCCTGCTGAGTGTAGAGTCGGAAGCATTTCCCAGGTTTCGTTCTACCTGCTCGGCCGGCACGCTGAACCCCTGCTGCCTTCGAAATCGGTACTGCCGTTAACGTCTCAATCCCGGAGTTTGGGTTATACGCCCTTAATTTGGCGAATCCACAGTCGACGACGTATACAATGCCGTCAATGGTGACAGATGCTTCGGCAATGTTCGTGGATACGATCACCTTGCGCGTGTTCTCCGGCGCCGGCTCGAAAACATACATTTGTTGGTCTGTCGTGAGACCGGAGTAAAGGGGAAGGGCAAGAATTCCTTGGGCCTTTGGATGCAAAGATGCAGCGCGCTCAGAAATTAATTGCACGGTGGTGTCGATCTCCTCTCGGCCTGTCAGAAACACAAGAATATCGCCGTCTCCTTCCTGTAGATGTATGTCAAAAACGGTCTTAACCGCTCTTTCAACATACTCTTCCGCGGGCGACTCAAGATAAAGGATATCCACAGGATACATCCGACCCTCCAGGCTAATGATCCGTCCCACGTTTCCCCTAGTTTGAACCCACCCGTCGTCATCAGTGGATTCATCGCCGGCGAAGAACCGTAGGAAGTCCTCAGCCTGCAGTGTTGCACTGCTAACCACAATTCTGAGCTCAGGACGACGCTTCATAATCTTTTTGAGAATCCCCAGAAGGATATCTGTGCTAAGTGACCTTTCGTGGGCTTCATCCACCATGATTACGGAGTATCGTGATAGAAGAGGGTCTACAAGGGCCTCCCTAAGTAGCATCCCATCCGTTAGGAACTTGATTCTCGTAGAAGCGGAGGTTAGGTCTTCGAAACGAATTGAGTATCCCACATCCTCGCCCACTTTGCAGCGCATTTCTTCCGCTACTCGCGTTGCCACTGTGGTGGCAGCCACCCGGCGCGGCTGGAGTCACTTTAGCCTTTCTCCCTGGGAGATTGCTGCAACGTGTTTTGAGACTCACCTGCGTCACTGCTATGGTTTTCCCATCGGCGCACCATCCTGCTTGGTCGAGATACTGAGGCAACTGCGTCGTTTTACCGCAACCAGTTTGCCCCACGACAATGGTGACCGGGTAAGTCTCTACAAGATAGAGTAAGCTTTGCCTATGCCTTGCTATGGGCAACAGCGCCGCAGGCTTGTACAGCGCTGGAATGAAAGTTGAGGAAAGCTCCAGTTCGGACGCCATTTGCGGTCACCAAACACAATCAAAGTCTAGATCCAGGTGTTGATTGACGGGCTCCTGTGAGACATGTTGGGTTCAAAGAAGCTCTCTGTACTCAAAGCCACAGCCTCGGGCTCAAGGAAGGGCGTGGAGAACGTGGATCTAGAAGGTAAAGGCGTCAAGTCTGCGCCAGAGGAGGAGTTAGATACTCCGTAGTTCGTAGGAATCCTCACATGCACGACATGCACGGGATTATGTCAGCACGTATAGTCACGTGGCTTAACGTCACTGCGCATCGGCGTCGCCCAAGTGTGGCTGATGTTCGGAGCTTCCAATGACAACGTTCTGATTGCTTTCTGCCTTGTGGTCTCATTCTTTTGCCGTCGCATCCATTATTCCAGTGTCGGCAGAACCAAACCAGCTTGGCCTTCACTCTGACCGAATCTTCCCTCTGAACATCCTTCCTAGCAGCGTCAAAATGTCTGAAGAAGACAAGACTGTTGGTCTCCTCTCCTATCTTACCCGTGTCTTCAAGCCTCCGCTCATTTAACTGCAGTCCACTATCAAGCCCCCCACTGGGCCACTCAGCCCGAAACCCGAGTCCCCTACTACGGCACGTCCTTTGGATTTCGATGATGAGCCCCAGGAGTCTGGCGTTACTTCGGTCCCTCCTTCAGCGACAACGCAGCCGAATGCGACGGAAGCTGCCCCGCCAAAACCGCCGCGCCCATTGAGCCCTCGGCAGCAGGCAGAAAACACTCTCAAAGAAGCTTTCCCCTCGGTTGATGCATCTGTTGTCAAGGCAGTGTTGACGGCAAGCAATTTCGATGTCGAGCGGGCTTTCCATGCTCTTCTAGGTTCGTGGGGTCCTGCATGTTAAAGGAGTGGGGATCGCACGTTTACTAACTTCACACCCCTAGGCATGACCGACCCAAGTGCGGAGGAAGTGGCTGCTCCCCCCAAACCTCCTCGTCCAACTGCAGCCCAAAGACAACTAGAATCAGATGAACTGTATGCTCGTCAGCTTGCCGAACACTACAACCGCCGCGCACAGCAATCCCAGTGGGAGGGTGTCCCTCCCCATGAGCGCCCCCGAAGGGGTAGCGATCACTCGGATGAAAGGGAATATAGCTTCTTTGATGGTATGTATTCGTACTTTGCCGTTACCTCCGAAATACTAACAGGCTTCCTCTGTAAAAAGATGACCTCCCCGTGATCCGCGAAAACATCCGCAAGGGATTCTTGGACACCCAGACCAAAGTCAGCTCGTGGTTTCAAACCGTGAAAAAGCGGCTTGACGGCGAAGAAGAGGAAGGTGGTCAATCGAGCCAGGGCTACGGCAATGAAGGTTACAATCGACCGAGGCGAAGCGGGGATCTTGGTCGTCGCAGCGGCGACCGCGAACGTTACGACGCTGATCCTCAAGTCTTGAGTGATGACTTTTCTGCGCTTGAATTGAGAGACTCTGAAGGTTTGATTGTTTCCTCCCCAAGGCGCATACTTTTACACTCAGCTAATCTTGGGTCTAGCTCCGCCTGCGCAACCCCCCCGACCTCTCGCGAACTCCAACCTTTACAAGTCCTCCTCGCCTTCCCCCGACAGGCGCAAGGTGTCCTTCCAAGAAGGCCCGCCCACCGAAATTGGTAACATTTATGACGCGTCCGAACCCGCCAAGCGCAGCTCTACGGGAGGAAAGCCTAGCAAGTGGCAGCCGCTCTCGACAGTGGAACCATCTCCCGTCGGGGACCACGATCCGTTTAGCCTAGGCGACAGCGAAGATGAGAAGGACACGAAGGCTAAGAATCCGCAGGCCGCAGACGAGACCGATCGCATAAAGAAGGATACGGCCGAGGCAATGTCCGGCGAGCTTGGGTCTTCATCGAAAGATAGCCAGAAGGCGGACAACGCGGGGAAACCATGAGAGGCCCTGTTCTGTACCACTGCATTTGCATCTTGATTTATCTCGTTATTTGTTGTTTTGCAAAAGACAATGTTGATGATACCAGAGACTGCCGCACGGGAGGCATGAAAGGGTTCAAGGGTAGTTTAGTTAATTTTATCCGTGACGTGTACGCGTACGCCCATTTGCCATGCAATCTGATTTCTTACCTACACGTGGAAGCTAAGGTTGGGTATCCTTGGAACTATAAAACACAATAGACGAACAAAAGAAACTAACAAACAAGGCCCGCTCAATTCATCACTCGGGCAGACTCTGGTCGTTAGGGTAAGCCGCCGTAGCTTCTTTCCGGAGATCTTTGATCACAGTCTGCAGAGCAGAGGTCATTGCATTAGTTTGGTCCTGTTCTACTGTAGATCATCAGGCAACCTACCGCCAGGGCATCAGGGTTTACTCCATTCTCGATGAGAGAGACACACAGCGAAAGTTCTGTTCTGTCTAGGTGCGTATTCTAGCCGCATTCAAGGAGCATCAGCCTCACTGTACCATTCATGTTTCATTCTGGGACACAATGCCTCGACTAAGAATGACAGATCGATCAACATACAAGGAGGGTTGAGATCTCGTGAAGAATGTCGACGACCTCGCGGGCGGCCTGACGCTTGTCATCGGATTGCGACGGCATTTTAAGATGTAGCGGGGAACAATAAGGTTGGGTTTTCAGAGCCCCAACTTGATATTGGGAATTTCAGTGGAGTTTCTTCAACTGGTCGAGAGAGGGAAGAGGAAGGGGAAAGGGAAGGGGAAAGGGCCTAAGGGAAGAACATACCTGCCTTACCGTCCAGTACTTCGGAGTGACACAATACGGGCGGTATGGTATTTTTGGAATACGGCGGCGGGTATCAATGTTACTTACATGTATTTACAGGGACAGGATCACGTGCCTTTCCTCAACTTTTTTTTATGCAGTATTCGTACTCCGTAATTATTTTGATTTTCTACTCCATCCTACTTATTGTTTACGCCCATTGGTCTTTGCTGTTCAAATCTCAGATTGACCGTGAATCAACCTTGAATTTTCATCCCTGGTTCTCTAGACCCATTGGTCTGATCGTTATCCCCGGCCCTCGAACGGTCATGAATGTGGATCTTGGAGGGGTTGCAAGAATGCAGGCCGAGTTAAAAATATCCGACATTCATTCCCTAAGCAGGGATCAGGCATTCGAGATTCTTACCCAGATTTCGCGCGCCGAGAAGAAGACCTTCCCCGCCAATGAGGCTTTTGGGTTCGGCCAGGAACTATGGAGGAAGAAGCCGAACACGAGGGTCTTGTATGCAACAAGAGCAACGCCTGGAGCAACCTCGTCTGTGATCGCGTATGCTGTCTATGTTAGGCAGAAAGGAGTAGCTTTACTGCACAAGGTTTGTGTGGTGGAGTCATATCGCCGACAAGGCGTGGGGATGCAGTTAATGGAGTACATTCGGTGCCGTCTACAAAAGGAGGGTTGCCAATACATCCAATTATGGGTAGACAAGGCTAGGGATCCCGCCCGGTCCCTGTACTCTCGCACTGGCTTCGAAGAACGGGAAGTGATTCCTGACTACTACGCGCCTGGGCGTACAGGGATCAAGATGGTGCTGGATCTTGACGCTTGAATGTAATGTTGAAGGGTTTCGAGCCACTCCTGCCCGTCCTGCCCGTCCTGCGCGTCTCCTTAGATACCCGGGACCTCTCCTGTGCAAGGGCAGACCTGTGACAGGGGACGATCCTCCCCTGTCAACCGCTCCTATGCTATCTGAGGGGCAGGATTTTTAGTTTGGGCTGGGTTGGAGGTTTGGCTCGCGTTCCTTGGCTCCTGCGCGAAACATCCCTTGCAGGGGCATGCATTTCGCAACGTGAACCTCTATCGCGCCGGCATTCATCTTCGCTGACACCGGTCCATATTTCCGTGATGTCGAGCATATCCTGGTATGGCTCGGTTGAAGGGGTTTTACATTTCGCGCCTCTCCTGGGTCCAACGACCCTTGAGCGCGCAGGCCCCAGGATCTTAGCACGGCGGTCTTCTTCCTAAGGATGATCCCACATCCTTGAAACATTATTCATACTCTCTTCGACTCAACCTCCTGCACCCTCTCCAACCAGTGTTGCCCAGAAGACCATACTCTCTACAGTCAAATGGTTTGTTAGAGTATACTGGCATTTAGCGGGCGTTATCAACAAGTCAGCCCAAGACGGTGGTCAGTTCGAAGATATGGCACTTTGGGGACTATTAGTCCTCAGTATCTTGCTGGTCGTGGATGCGACGCTGGTGACAGATTATCCCGTGAATGCGCAGCTACCTCCCGTGGCCAGAGTTGCGCAGCCGTTCAAATTCACTTTCTCTCAAGGTACCTTCGGCGGTGTCGATTCGAACACGGAATATTCGCTCTCAAACGCCCCCTCATGGCTCCATGTCGATAGCAAAAGCCGTACCCTCTCGGGCACCCCTAAAGAGGAGGATGAGGGTCACCCAAAGTTCAATCTTGTGGCGTCAGATGGGTCAGACTCCGCAAACATGGAGGTGACCTTGATTGTTACGAAAGATGAAGGCCCTAAGCCAGGAAAACCACTGCTACCCCAACTTGAAAGCATCGGAGCCACGTCCGCACCCTCGACCATCCTCATACACTCGGGCGACTCGTTTTCGATATCTTTTGATTCCGACACCTTCGTCAATACGCGACCCTCGACTGTATATTATGGAACGTCGCCGGAGAATGTTCCTCTGCCGTCATGGGTTGGATTTGATCAGTCCAACCTCCGGTTCTCTGGTGTCGCCCCCAATATTGGACCCCAAACGTTCAGCTTTAACCTCGTCGCCTCGGATGTGGCTGGCTTTGGCGCAGCTACGGCTAGTTTCGACATGACCGTCAGTCCACACATACTGACATTCAAAGAGAGTGCGCAAACCTTCTTTGTCAGTCGGGGGAAAGAGTTCACCAGTCCTCGCTTTGAAGAGACCCTAACTTTGGATGGACGCAAAGTGGTGCCTGCCGATCTAACCGGTATTGACATTGACTCGCCGGACTGGGTTAAACTGGACAAAAAATCCATGTCACTCAGCGGCACCCCCCCTATCGATGGGAGTGATGAGAATGTTACAATATCTGTCACGGACAAGTACCAGGATGAAGCCAAGCTTCTCGTCAGTCTGCAATACTCGCAGTTCTTTCGCCATGTGAAGGACTGTGAGGCAGTCATCGGCCACTATTTTACCTTTGTCTTTGACAATACAGTTCTCAGAAACGACTCAGTGCAACTGGACGTGGACATTGGACGAGACTTGCCATGGCTCCACTACAATCCCGACAACAAAACCCTTTATGGACAGGTGCCTTCCGATCTCAACCCGGATGAATCATCGGTTCGGCTCACGGCCAGCGAGGGGTCTGCAAAGGATACTCGGGACTTGATTATCAAAACTGTGGAAGACGATAATTCACATGAATCCAGCACCGCCGATTCAAATGGTGGCGGTGGCGGTATTCATGGAAAAAAGGCGGGGATCATTGCCATCGCTGTGGTCGTCCCCTTTGTGGTCGTCACGAGTCTGTTGATCCTCTTCTGCTGCTGGCGTCGTAAGCGTAGAGCGGCGACACCAGAAGATGGGTATGATACTCAAGAAAAACTTCCGCCAACCGGCCCAAACACATCGAATTTGCCACACTGCCAACCTTTTGAGGACACAGCGCAGGGCAGTCCACCGCGAATAGCCAGGAGTCCCTCGCCGTCATCGAGGCCGCCAAGATTGGAACTGGGACCCTTGTGGAATACAAGCCCTTTTCGTTCCATCGAACGAAAGAACGAATCGCTCGTGAGAGAAGACGACGATGCAAATCCTACCATCGAATGGGACTTTGCCCCTATCAAAGCCTCTGTATCACGAGAAGACGCACCAAATGAGAATGCACCTCCGCAGCCGAAGCGCCTGTCTTTCCAGAACAGCCCACCCAGGCGCGTGCGAACCAGTAGCACCCGCCGCCGAGAGCCCCTCAGATCAATCCAGCCAAGAAGGTCACTGAAACGACACTCGGCGCAGTCGTCTCGTTCCCGAAGATATTCGAAGCGTTCCAGTGGAATCTCGTCGATCGCTTCAGGGCTGCCCCTGAGACTCAGCGGCGCTGGGCATGGAGCAGGCGGTTTCGGGCCTCCGGGCCATGGCGTTGTCCGGGTCTCATGGCAGAACACTCGTGCATCCCTTCAAAGTGACGAGAGCGGTGTTGGGAACCTTGCGCCTTTGTTTCCTCGGCCTCCCCCACGGGCGCGCGAAAGCGCGGAATACCCAAAACGAATAAGTTTGCGGACTGTGGAACCTGACAATACAAATACAGCGGATTCCGACTCATTAGAGGCGTTTGTACACAGCCGGGCAAAATATCGAAACTCATCTAATCCACTGTTCTCCGGTCAGCTCAGTCGCCGAACGTCCTCCGGTCTGCGCGCTCTAGAGAGGGCACGAAGCACAGCCAGCCGGACCGACACAATCGACAGCTCCAACTACGGTGAAGACTACAGGCGATCCATCTACGATCGCCCGTGGTCAACGGCCATGTCCGCATCCATATACACCGATGACAATCGACAATCAGCTTACCTCGAATCGTTATCCGAGGAGTCTTTGAACATTCGGCCCTTAGCACCCATTGGAAAGGGGCCAAGTCAGTCTAGCTTAGCACAGAAATACTCCGAGGCGATCACGCCGCTGCCTCGATTCTTCAGTGAACTTAGCATGAAGAGTGGGCGACGGGCCGAGCCGGGCCTTATGACAGCCACCAATCCTCTCGTTGAGGAACCACAGACTCAAACAACGCAGCCCGATTTTCCGCGATCCAATTCGAATCTACAGAACCAGCCGGCTGGTAAATCCACGAATCCATTCCGCAAAAGTCCGTCCGCGTCATCTGTTCCTTTCGACAGCAAAGGACGCCGAGCAAGCTTAATTCGACTAGCGGAAAGCGATGCGAATCGTCAGCGAGGACTTTCTAGGGACATAAACAGCAGTGTGAAAAGCGACATAGCATTTGTATAAGCCCGGGCAGGAACATTTTATGAAACACCTTGTTCTATAGATTTCGCTTGGGTCCCGTTTTTACGCCAACAAGCAGCAAGCAATTCGCAGCATGATATCCCTAATCTATTGTTCATGTTTTCTTGGTTCATGTGGTTTCTGTTACGCTCTCAATTGTTGCTATATACGTATCTCTTAGCATCTATATTGTTAATATAGACATAATCAAAGGGAGCAAGCAGCATCCCCCAGTCCCCTGAAAAATCAAATTATCAACGTTTCAGACTCTAAAACAAGAGTGATGCGCAATTTCGTCGATATAGCCTCCAGAAGTTCATTTGACTGAATATGTCCATGCTGAGCATGTACTTGAGAGCAGCATGATTAGCAAGTATGAGCCTGATCTCGTCAATCCAAAACCCGATTTCTTTCGCCAACTTTCCCAGTCAAAAAGTGAGACAATATCTCGGCGGTTTGCAAAGCTTAGATTATCTTGCCGCGGGTGGGGCGGGTGGGTTCGGACTAATGCAACTTTAAATCTACTTTTAGACCTAATTTACTGTTTCTGGGCGCCTCGAAAGTACGGGAGGGATGCTTCGGCTTGAGAAGACGTTACTGTGAATTATGCGTGCTTTTATTTGGCAAGGAACGGGTCTATGTGCCTTGAGGTGATTGTGGAGTTTTTCACTAGGTAGACAGACCAGGATCAGAGTCGTTACCGAAGGTATCCAAACTCCGATGGGAATGAAATGAGGCTACAGATGTCCTCGCTGGTAGACTCGCTCCTTATTGGCTCTGTTGGCTAATACCCCACTTGGTTAGGCGCGGCTTGCACAAGAGTATCAGCCTCTTCCAGTAAAGATTAGTAGAGACTGGTCATGTTCAGTAGCCTCCCTGCTTCCACGATCTAGTCATCCTAAAACAAGAGTCGAAACCCACAAAGAATGGGCTTGATATTTGCTGGCTTCAAGTTATTTCCCCATGGGGGAGATGCAATCATAGCACCCAGCAATCGCTCTGCACAATGAATGACATAGTTTTCTCTGGTAGCATACACATTGTGTTATGCGAGGGTTAAGAGGCACTGATGTCCCCCCCCCCCCCCCAAAAAAAAAAAAAAAAAAAAAAAAAAACTGTTTTAAAAGAGAGACTTGAGCAAGAGAAGTCAAGAGAACTCACACCAGGTCCACTCGTTTGGGGCTTCATGGAAACAAAAACCTAGAACAGGCTTTTGAAGTCTTGGTACTGCACTATGCATTTAATAACGCATTGCTAATAACCTGTGCCGAGACCCAACGCCGCCAATACATCTGATATCTAGAAGCATTAGTTAGAGAGTTCGTTTGCAGCTTTTCAATACGAACAGGCCATTATTATGCTCCATGTGTGGCCATTGCATCGTTCGTGTGTACGGTGGGCAGCTTGCATTGGTTGTTACGTGTCAACAGGGCCTACCAGACACATCCCCGGCTGCCGACTTGACGGTGAAGATACTGCTTATAGGATTTTATGTTAAAGAAAGGTACATAGTGCGGGGTATGTACCCTCTTTCACCTGCAGGTCCCGTAGTACATGAGCACCAAATCAATGTGCACGGTCGGTATGGGA